AATTAAATTAAATTATGGAGAACACGCATTCTCCTGCTTCTCCTCAGAAGCTGGTTGCTCAGGTCTGAGCATTAGGGTGGAAAAAAGAGTTATCGATGGGCCAGTAATCCCTGCAGACGGTTTTAGCACCTTCCACCTCCAGGGCAATCTCTCACGCAGCAAGAGCACGGGCTGGTTCGTGCAGCCAGCAGGCACGATGCTAAGTCCACTTTGGCAGGCTCCTCCATCAGCCCACTTGCTCTCCAGGTACCCCCCAACCCACGGGATTACCAGTCCAGCCCTGTCGCTAGGCAGGAAGTAAACTGGTTGGCTGGTTCGCTTGTTTGTTACGACTAGTAAATAGGTGAGGACTCATGTAAGTCTCTGAATAAAAACAGAGCTTGTGCTATTATTGAAATGGAAAAATCAGCTTATGAAGCTTTCCCTTGTTTTTCTGGGTGAACCATCATCCATTTGGGGGGTTTGGTTTTATGCAACACTGTACTGTATAGAGATGATGCTCATCTCTACCAGCTGAACCTGCAAAGCTCCTTCCTCTACTCCTCCCATAGAGAAAGCAATGCTTGAAAAGACAAGTGTAGTCAATTCCAGTATGGCTTCCTCAGTTTGCTAACATTCTTTTAAAAATCCTTTGTTTTCATCTCAGCTAAGGAAGCAATTCTAAACTGATGCTTTTACAATTCACTGTTTTCAAACACTCCCTGTGATCTCAGAGATCTGAAACTGTTATGCCTCGAGAAAGCTTTGTTTCCAGAAGACCAAATTTTCTGCAATTTCCAAGAATTAGCAATCCACAGGATGTTCCCAGTGATCAAAACAGCGCCCCTTAAAATCACTAGACTCATTAGGAATGGCTAGAGCATCTTGTTGGCACTCCTTCCTTGCATCAATGTTAAATTTCATTAAAAGATATTAAACCAACTTTGTCACACTTTCTCTTGGTAAGCGGTTACTGTAGGTCCTCCCAGAAGGGGAAGGATCTGTAAATTGTCTAGAACAGAGGAAAGGTCTCTACAATATAGCTGGTTGGGACTTGATAGTCACCCATCACTTCCTTCCTCTTGCTTTTAGGGAGTGCAAGGACTACAGCCTTTCCTGATGCTTCTTTCTTTCCAATTCTTACCATTTCACAACTTACCACAGTTCTGGCTTTGGGGGATTTTAATAAAAATGGTCAAACAGTGGTTTTACCTATGCTGTCTTTGCATATTAAGAATACTCTTATCCATGGTTGCTCTACTAAATAAGGACTGACCAGATGGACAATTCTGTCTTTCTCTCCTGGGCAGATTGCATCTAATCAAAAGCAGTTCCCTCCTCCTACTCCTACTGCACACTATGCGTATCATCCAGATGTCAGCACTGGTAATTTCAGCAAAAGCTCACCAAGATTTGGATAAAACTTGCTGCTGTTGTTTTGGGTTTTTCCCCACCCCCAGGGGAGGCAGGGAGCCAAAGTTCCAATTGAGCAAAATAAAATTAAAAGTAGATCATTTTTTTATGTCTCAGTAGTGTGTGCTATGGTATATAATGTATGTTCCCTGCTTCACAAAGGAAATGAAAGAATGAACTTATAGGACTGATGAAATAAAGTTATCAAAGTATTACTTGCCCCAGCTGATATGTACACTTCACATATAATTACTATTTAATATCTTGTTTCCTACAAACCAGAAAAAGCTTACCCTCTCTCCCAATTCCCTCTTCTTGTAAATAAGCTGATGCAGAATCTTCCAGATTTGCAGTTTCTACTTGACTTTCTTCTTGAACTTATTCTCTTCTTTGCAAAGTAATGTGGTCTACAAAATGAAGATATTTAAAATACTAAATGAATAAGTGTTATAAAAATAATAAATTAGTATACAAGACTGACTTGCACAAAACATATGTTATACGCTGAAATATATTTAGACGGGAGCGCATAATTGCCTGTTCCTTTTCTAATGGCCTGAAGCACAGCGCAAAATCTGAACTTTTCCCTCCCTGCTGCTCCCTCCCCAGTTCCCGGCTGAGTTCAGGTCCCCATCGCTTTTCACACGCTGTCTGCAGGAGCGACGACCAGCTGCAGCAGCCTCAGTAAATCTCAACTGCCCCCTGACCACGGGAACTAAATGGCAGCAAACGGTCATCAGCGATGGGACACATGGACGAGAGGGCAGTGGAAGTGCCAGTCAGGGCGAAGGGCAGCAAGCCTGGGAGAGCAACACTGCGAGCGCTTCCAGTGGGTGGGGGTGTAGGTCCTGCCACGCCAGCCTCCAGGCCCGGCTCAAACTGCACCTCGGTCGCTGTATCCTCATGCTTGGCGCTCTCAGGGGCTCAGTACTGGAATCAGCCCAGTGATGCTTCTGGCCCTGCCCAGCCTCCTCCCACCCACAGCAGGGGCCCAGGAGCCCCCCTTCAGCTCAGCCCACGGCACTCAGCGCCTCCCTAAGCTACGCTGCAGGAGTGCCGGTCTCCATCCCCGCCTCTGGGATGCACCTCAGACCTGCGCTGCTGGTAGCTGTCTCCTGGACATGCCTTGTCGTATGTCTCCAGCCCGCTCCCCTCCTGCTCCTGATGGGACCCCCAGCCCAGGTTCATCCCCTCGCATCACTAGGGCTGTCAACAGACCAATACCTGGCTGGTACCAGCAGCTTCTGCAGGAGAAAGTGAGAGATGAGGCTCCACATGGGGGTCCACAACCACAGACAAGATGAGTACAACTCACTTCAGTCACAGAGTTGCCAACAAAGACAACCAGTCACTCTATAACACTGAGCCTTCTGCATATTCCTTGAAAAAAACCACCTCAAAACCAGAATCGTCTTTATTTGAATGTGTTTACAGATTCTGTTACTTTTAAATTTTTTCTTCCATCCCTCCTCCCCAAAAAAAATTTACAGGATTCGACAGAAAAAAATGTTTAAATTACTTTCCAATTGAGCTTCTCCCAAAACACCAGTTGGCTTGGAGTTGCACAGTATTTCACATGGGTGTGTTTGTAATGTTCATGGAAAAGGGAAGCGGCTATCTTCAACTTTTCAGGAAGCCAAACTTCTCCTTCCACAAATGGAGCCTGTTCCCTCTGAAGCAAAGTAACCAGCAGCAGCCCATGTACACATCAAAAGGAAGGGGGGCAGGCATCAACAGAAATATAAACAATTCCTCCTGGCAAGTTCATTAATCGACCCGTAGCTCCCGTGGAAACAGTGAGGTTGTTCTCAGAGGTATTCACGTTGAATAGTTAGGTCGCAAAGTTGGACCTTCATTAATTTTAAGGAAATACACAGAGTCCTTCACCTAGAACCTAAAGTATCTCCAAAAAAATAGCTTCTATCTTCACCCTAAATGTCCAAAAGAACACCACCAACAAAAAAGGTATACTTTGCAAGTGAGGTGAATCTTTCTGTTAATGAAAGTATGGAAATACACTCTAACATTTATGTGGATAGAGCAAAATCCAGTGTGTGGTTGCTGGAAGGGCATGGCAGAGGGTCAACCTGGCAAGCACCTGGTGGGAGCTGACTTCACGTAATGGGCTCCGTGTTTCTGAAAGCTCAGCGGCAGAATTTTCCTCTAAATACACAATCAGGCACTGGATCTTTCCTTCAAGAAACTGGCAGTGAAATCAGAAGGAAAACCTGTGGCAAAAACCACCACTTTCCAGGAAAACAAACATGTGAAAATACAGTCACAACTCAGTCTTATTTTCTGTGTTGAAGCCTAAACCAGAAAAAGGCTGAACGCCTTGGATTAACTACTTCCTGGGAAATTAAGGCCTATTTTTAGTACTGAGCACTGTTGTTTCTCTGATACTATTTTTTCCCCTATTCAGCTTTTCTATCTGTCCAAGGTGTTTTGTAGACCACTAGTGATTCAGGTGGTATAACCAGATAAATAACTGAGTTATTATCTTTATGAAGCACAGATCTCTCTGTAATAAATGTACCTTGTAGCTTGATTTACAGCAAAATCCTCCTCCTCTTACTTCCCCGATGAGACCTACTTAAGTCAGTGAGACTAGTCATGATGATAAGATAATTAAGTTTTTAGTACAACTCTGGTTAGTGAGCAGAATGCAGTTCTGAAATAATGAATCTACTAGCTCCAGTCTGATATTCAAAAGGTGTTGATGATTTTGGTATTATTCTTAATGTGCTCTGAGAAAAGTACTTTTTACATTAAAGCTGTAAACCCCATGTAGGACACAATTCAAATCACCTTTTAAATTAAAGAACTGCTTTTAAAAGGGCAAAGTGGAAGTTCAGCCAGCATAGCAGTGACACCTGCAAACTGACAGTCAAACCCCCCTACATTAAAATGGAAAGATTTGCATGAATGTGTTTTAAAATGACAGGAGACAGGAATGGGAGCTTCTAAGCAAGTTAGACTAAAATTTTAAGAGTGAAATGCCTAAAAATAGGCCCTTGAATGCATAGTTAGGCACCTATATAGAGGCTGCTTGATTTTCAGTTGTTCTGATCACCCAGAGCTCCCATTAACTTCAGGAGCAACTGTGGATACTCAGCTGTTCCAGAAATCAAGCCACCTTTATTCAAGGGTCTAAATATGGATGTCTGCGCCCAAGTTTGGGGAAAAAAATAATAAAAAAAAAAGGCATTTTTTTGCTACAGAGACATTTTATAAAAGAAAGTAATAGCCAAGTTTCATTTTCTCAGGTTACAATGCTTGAAACTGAATCAACATAACAATTAATAGTGCAACACATCTGTGGCAGAAGATTTTGTCTGAGGTGAATGGAGAGCTATTCCAAGATCTGTAGCTCTTAATTAGCAATCTGTAACATTCCATAGATATTTCATATTCTGCGCCTGCAAAATGTTACCAGGCCACCTAAATCTTTTTCATAGTATTTCAGTGTTGCCATTAATAAGCTTTTCAGGCTGGTCTGAGGAAGACTTTGCAAGATTAACTTTGCAAATCTGTAAGTATTAACTATTTAACTATTTCAGAATTACCATTTTTTCTGCTTTTGGATTGAGTGCAACCAGCAGACTCAAGCATATTTTTAAATACTACAAAATATGAAGAAGGGAGAATTAGGCCTTTAATTCTACCATATGCCCTTGGTTGTCAGAAGACTTCTGAATGCTGCTTGCTTAAAGACCTCTTTTGTAAAAATAATCCTGAGTTGATTTTGTGTCTAAGCCATTGCCAGGTCATGCTGAAGTGCATGAGAGCCAGTCACATGGTAGAAAATCTGCAAGAAAAAAGAAAATTTTTGTATGACTAAATCTGAACGTGTCAGGGAATTAACAAATCAAAGGCGTGCCAGATGAAGATGATGGATATTTGTTTGTGTGTGCATGCATAAAATATGATGTAATATACCTTTATATATTTGTTTATAGGATCTGAACTAAGGGCTCTTGCTGCTTTGCTTGGCAAAAAAGAAAAAAGCAAAGTTGCTTTTACTAAGCTTTCAAAAATAGCCAGGTAGAAGACAATGCTTTTCTCTCACTGTAATCTGATTTTGATGATTTCAATATTATTTTGTGATAAAGTATCCAAAATTGCTTATGCTTTTACATGGCTCATTTCAAACTATTCTTTTAACGGTACTGTCCTGGGGGTGAGGGCGTGTTCTCCTAATTTTCTGTTTGTTTGTTTTTTTAAATACCTGTTTGTTTTATTGAATATAATGACTGGGACATTTTATCTTACATGTTTTTAGATGGCACAGTATAGCAGAGCTTTGGTCATGACTGGGGCATTTGTGTAATCCCTGGCAGATAAAAGGATGCCACCCTTAAGAAATCAACAAATCACACAACACAATCACAGGCTGTGTTGTAAGACTCAGCAACGATGGCAGTGGCAACAGGAAAGTTCATGCTGCTTTCTCAAAATCGGGGACATGATTTTAGATGAAGAGTGAGGCAGAGGCAGTCTGGGAATGAAGCAGGCCAGTATTCTCATTGCGGGAGCGAGCCAGGGGTTTTCAACAGTCATGAATGCTCACCTCACATCTATCAGCTGTTCTATATTTCTTAAGATATGTCAGTATTTCAGCTGCTAGGAAAGGTGGGGAAAAGGAACAGTCAGACTTTTTTTTCTCCCCCAAATCCCCTACATCTCATGTTCTCCTACCAGCAGCAACAGCACAAGGACTCTCAAACTTTTTTCTTGGTTAAAGCTAATATCACGTCATCTCCTGGGTTTAATGGACATGGGAGTGAAGTTCAGCAGCCCTGAGGGTTTAGTAGTTCCTGTGACACTACACTGTTCTCAACTACGCTGTATCCTTCAGGGATGATACCCTGCACCAGTGAGGTAGGTCATGGCTAGGTCAGAACCCTTCTTCCCACTGGGAACTACACATTGCCACCGCACCGCATACACTATGTGTCTGCCAGGAAACACAGTGACCAGCCTGCACAAAAATAAAAGCAATTAGAAAACTGAGGCTTTGTAGGAGGCAATTGCTTTTCTTCCCCAGAAAATAATCAATATGTAAAAACTTCTCTATCAGCATTACCATATGTAGGATGAGATGTGACTTTCTCCACAGCATGGAAATGTATTGTGAACATTTGTGGCACTGTGACACAAAGGGTCTGTGAGATATTCTGAGGGTCAGCTGAACTGGCAACAGCTAGGAGCGCAGGGGAGTGCACTACCGTGCACTGGCAAAAGGTTCCACATACGTACAAACCGAGCTTCTTTGCTCACTGCGATGCAAACCTGGCCCAGGCAATTGCCAGCTGCTGGAATATGAGAGTCCCAGATGTCTGCAACGACAGGCCAAATTTAAAGAAATACTGGGCAGAAAGTGAACCTGTCATTAATAATGAATTAGATGTATGTTCTATTATCTTTTAAACAGTACCAAAAAGCACATTTTTCAAAACAGTAAGCCAGCACATTTAGAAAGATTACTTTTTCTCTCCACCAATCTCAAAACTGTTAACATCTAACCTGTTTTTCAATGTCTTCCAGCAAACTACTGGCACCCAGGCGAAAGAGCTCTGGTGTTAGCCATTCCACGCCCAGTTCGTCCTTCACCAGCATAAGCCAAGTAATAGCTTCTTTTGCTGTCCGAATGCCCCCAGCAGGTTTAAATCCAACCTTCATATAGAAAAAAAAGAAGTGCAATACATATTTTCACTCATCAGCAAGCCCAGAAGAGCAATCAGTATTTGTACACCTGCAGTCTCAAAGTGCCTGTGGTGCATGTAACAACTCTACTCGGTAAGTATCTGACTGCAAACAGAATAAGCTCTGGACTAGCGCTGAGAGCTATCAAGGCTCAGCCATCACTGCAAAAGGTAACATTTTCATCCCGAGGGACAGCGACTGAGGGAGCAATACTTTCGACTCCAGTGCGCTTTCTCAGGAGCTGCGTTTGAGGTCTAATGGGAGTACTGTGCCTATAGTACATATTAGGCCAAGGGATTTAGGCCAGACCTGGGATATCTGCACATCACCTACTGCCCATGTCACAATCTAATTCCAAATATGTAACTACAAATATGCATGCAATAACATAACAGTAAAGGTGCCGAAATAAAGCACGTGAGGCAGCCAACTCATATGGAAAGCAGTGAGAGATGGTTGTACTTTATAAAAAGCCTGTGTGCCACAGTTATATGTGATTGGGCTGTACATTCAAACCTATCAGAGGTTTAATTTTCACTAAAATTTTCCAGAGGGGAATTAAATTAGGTCTGTCTTTACCAAAAATTGAAAATTTAGTGCTTCGGAGAAACTGCAAAACTTCTCTCCCAACACATGCTGGATATGCTTTCAGTCACTTGACGTGAGATACATGAAACATTTGGTCAGGTGAACTGTCACGTATGTAGAGGCACACACATCAAGAAGAACCTGTCTTTGAGGTAAAGTATGTCTTGAATCCCATGATCAACCTGCTGTGCAGAGCCACCACTGAGGGGACTTGGCGTGCACCCCCAATGCCAGTCTTTTGGTTACATGCCATTTAAACGCATCTCATCCTGAGACAGAGCTTGTGACACGCAGCTATCAAATCCCTCATCAAAAATTGTCACCTGTATTAGCCAAAATGTTGGCCTGCAGCAGATTATTAAACTCCTGAAAAACAAGGAGAATTAGGAAAAAATGTTTCTGCATTAAAAAAAAAAAAATCTGAATAATCTGTACAGTAGTACACAGTGATTCTTTCTACATTTCCCTCTGCCATAAACCTTTACCTTGGGTACTCCTTCCTGTCAGCTGCCTTCTGCAAGAATTATCATTCTGATTTCTGTATATACGTTTCTGAAACCTCACTGCATTGAGGATTTCTTTGTATCTTATGGATATAATAGTGGATTCAAAAAGTATATGTTTTTAAATGGGTTTGGTAATTATTTTTTTATAGTGATTTCAGGACAAACAAACACAGAATAAAACCTTCTCTCACACTGAAGCATTATGATAACAGCATATTTCCAATAAGATTATAAAGAACAGTAACAGCAAAAGCTTGATAAATCCAAAACATGACGAGTGTTTTTGTGGATGGATGGATGGATGGATGGATGGATGCGTGAATGTATGCATACATCTGTTAACATTAGATTTCTAAAAGGAATTTAAACCACAGCAACTGGAAAAGCATGTTCTAGACAATAAATTAAAATAGCGCGTATGTATTTTCCCTCAGGAAGAGAAATCCTAAAGAAATTCGAATTTAGATTTCTTCCTAGAAATATTACAGCTCTTTGAGATAATCTGTGGCAAAACTAAGTAAAATAGAGTTAATAAGAGAATTAAAAACACCACACAGAATTCCTTCCCCTTTTAGCAAATTCTGAAAGCTCCTTTCTTTGCAGAAAAGCTGACAAAGACAAGCTTGTCCTCTCCTCCATTTACGGCACATCTGACTGCCATAAAAACGCAAAAAGGAAGGGGGGTTGGAATTTAATTCAAGAGCAGTACAAAGTCCAGCTACCACTTTCCTGCTGTTTCACAGCATTTCATTATTTTGCTTAATAAGTTCATCTCCTCGAGAATTTTCTCTTCACCTTATATTATTAAAAGTAATAAGTTTTTCTGGATTGGGGGTTTTCCCAACAGAAAAACCAATTTATGTATGTCCTTCAATAATGACAGGAAAAGATTATTTCCCATTATATTGCACACTTTTCATATCACCACCACAGCTTATCATTCAATAAATGTTACTCTGCAACTTGTTCCTTTCCTCGAAGAAGTTTAATTTCTGTATTAACCTGTTTTTCCCAGCCAACGCCTTGCTAGAAAGCATCCCTACAGCAGCAAAATTAGTTTGTTAAAGAAACCATTTAGAAATCTCTTGTCACTGATAATATTGTCTTCGGTTAATAAAAGCACATAAAGTCAGTTTACATCTAATTCACTGACACACACGTGCACACAGACATAAGCAGTCGTTCTTAATAACACATTTTATACCATGAATGCATCCTTTTAAAGCAAAAGGTGAATTCAACGTTTATATCCAATTATAGGTACAAAGCTGTGTTAATGCAGCGGAGCTCAACCCCTGGCACACAGCTCCTGTGAGCGGCACCGGTGCAGAGGTGAGTCACCCAGCCCCAGGGATCTGCCGCAGGTTGGCAGCAGTGACGATGCTGCCGCAGAAGCAAGACTTTCAGAGCTGCTCGAGTTGTTGCGTGGCAGAGATGCAGGCTGGGGAAGGGTGGAGTAAGGACAGCCCAGGGATCTATGCTGGCCTCATCTGGACAACTACAGAGAGCAGATGGACACACATCTAACCTGCTGTCAATGTGCTCCCTGAGCTCCAACAGCCCCTGAAGCCATCTCAGCCCCTTTCCCACTGCCCTAGCATCATACCTTGAAAGGCCACCTGCAGAAGACACAGAAGGGTGAGTTGGAGAGGACAGGAGGGTGACCCAGAAATGGGGAGGGGGTCTTAGCTACAGATATGGTTTCCTTCCCTGAGGCTGCAAGTGAGGACAAAGCCCACTGCTGTACACCAGCACCAGATCTAACTGGCAGCCCCCACTTGCCTGGGGATAAAGGAGGTGAGAGATGGCTTAAGCCTTCCTGGATAACCTCTTCCTTCCTCACTGCTTCAGCCCAAGGATGGACACACATCTATGGCTGTGCTGTACACTCCCCCCTGCTCCTTGCCTCCATGACCTCACTTGACAGTGACCTGATGGATAAATGTTGTGTAACAGGACATAATGTCTTCTGGTCCTTGTCCTCCCCCTCTCTCCCCCTCACAACAGGATCCAACTGAATCTGCCTTCTTGTCCCCTTGGAGAGCCCCTCTGGCAAGGGAGGAAAGAGCAGAGTTTATCCCTTGGGTTGCCAGAACAATGTCAGAAAATACAGTTGTGTACACTGGACCGTCTCTTGATGGCTATAAATTTGTATAGCTCCACTGAGGTTTATGGGAGCATGCCAATCACTGTCAGCTTGAGATTTGCCCTGTTATTAATGGAGATGACCATTTAAATACTTCAATGGTGAAACAAAACTCAAACCCAAATGCAGCAGGGGATGCAGCAAGATTGCATGAGCTTTTAGAGAATGACAGTTATTCAAGGGAGGAAAGCCAGAAGTGCTACTTTTTTTTTCTTTTTTTTCTTTTTTTGTTTTTTAAGAATACAAATATTAGCAAATCAAATGAGAAATACAAGAGAGAAGTCCCATTACTTGTTGCTCAAAGAGCCACTAAGTAAGCTAATGTATATGGATTTATATGCTCTGCATTTTGAAACTATTACAGTCTTATTTCCTTCTGGGTGACCCTGTGGTTAATTTTTATAAAGGTAGTGAGAATTACCTTGTTGCCAGTTTGCCAGTAGAATTCTTTAATGGCTCGCATCATGACTACTCCGACTGGAAAGGTCGCGTTTTCCACCTCCTTTCCTGTAGATGTCTTTATAAAATCAGAACCTGAAAGGAAGTAAATAGCTTTATGGTAGTTTTAGAACAAGAGTCACTCTGCACATACATAGTTCACACTCTCCAAAGATGTCCTCATCCTTGACAGCGATTATGAAGCATTCCTTTATACGTACGTCCCTGTGGTGTCAGTGCTAATCTTGCTCTGGTCAAGGACAGAGGAGGAGGATGATACCCACCTGGTTTCAGAAAAAGTCAGACATTTCCGTGGCTAAATGAACATCCCAGCTCTTAATTCTTTGCTCTAGCTATCTATCAGACTAACAATCTATTCAGGACAGTCCAATATAATATATGTCCAAGTGGAGAATGGTGACAAGTGGCG